AACTTGTCCATTTCTTTTAGGTTGTCTAATTTATTGGTGTATAATTGTTCACAGTAGTCTCTTATGATCCTTCATATTTATGTGATATCAGTTGTGATGCCTCCTCTTTCATTTATTTTATTTATTTGAGTCCTCTTTTTTATTGGTTAGTTTAGCTAGAGGTTTGTCTATTTTGTTTATCTTTTCAAAAAACCAGTTCTTAGTTTCATTGATCTTTTCACTCTCCTTTTAGTCTCTATTTTATTTATTTCTGCTGTGATCTTTGCTATTTCCTTCCTTCTTGTAACTTTGGCCTAAGATGTTATTCTTCTTCTAGTTCCTTGAAGTGTTGCATTAGGTTGTTTATTTAGATCTTTCATTTTTTCTTTATGTAGGCATTTAGTGCTCTGAACTTCCCTGCTAGAACTGCTTTTGCTGCATCTCATAAGTTTTGGTATATTGTAGTTCCATTTTCATTTGTCTCATTATTTTTTGATTTCTCTTTTAATTTCTTCTTTTCTCTATTTGTTGTTCAGTATCATATTGTTTAATCTATCTAACTTTGTGCATTTTCCAGTTTTCTTCTTGTAATTGATTTCTAGTTTCATAGCATTGTAGTTGGAAAAGATGCTTGATATGAATTAGGTCTTCTTAAATTTATTAAGACTTCTTTTGTGGCCTAGAATATGATCTTTCCTGGAGAATGTTCCTTGTGTGCTTGAGAAGAATGTGTATTCTGCTGCTTTTGGAATGGAATGTTCTGTAAATGTCTGTTAAGTCCATCTGGTTTAATATGTGGTTTAAGTCCAATTTCCTTATTGATTTTCTGTCTGGACGATCTATCCATTGTTGAAAGTGGGATATTGAAGTCCCTTGCTATTATTGTATTGCTCTCTTTTATCTTTTCACATCTGTTAACATTTGCTTTATATATTTGGGTGCTCTTATGTTGAGTGCAAAAATATTTTATATTTCTTAACAATATTTTTGACTACCTCACATTTTATTATATATTAATTATTGTCTGCATTATGGATTGACTTGTGTCTCCCTAAAATTCATATATTGAAGTTCTGACCCCCAGTACCTCAGAATATGACCTTATTTGGAAATAGGCTCAGTGCAGATGTAATTACTTTAAGATCAGTAGTGTGGGCCCCTAATCCAATATGACTGGTGGACTTATAGAAAGGGGAAATTTGGACATATACACAGACATGGAGAACACCATATGAAAATGAAAGCTGAGATCGGGTGATACTTTTATGAGTTTTTGAGCTTTCAAAGATTGCCAATAAACACCAGAAGCTAGGAGAGAGGCATGGGTCAGATTCTTCCTCACAGCCCTCAGAAGAAACCAACCTGTTGACGCTCAGAACTCAGAATTCTATCCTGCATAACTATGATACAATAACTTCTGCTGTTTAAGCCATCTAGTTTGTGGTACCTTCTTAGAGCAGCCCTGGGACACTGATACATACCCCTACTTAGTGTATATATATTTTCTTTCTATGTGCCCTGTCTTTCAAACCCTAGGGTTTGACATACTTTTAATTTTCTCAGACAGGATAATGATCACTGATACTGAGCCCTGACATGGTATGATCTTTTGAAAAGATTAACTTGCTATTTGATGGCAAGTTGATCACATTGGACATTTTCTACCTTGGAGTGGTCAGAAACTCATCCTTATAGGGATTTATATGTATGCCAGGTATAAAAATACCTATACCTGTATAAACAAACATGCATCCCCTGTTTCTCATGCCTCAGCTAGCACCACCACTCAAGAACTTTCATTGTCTGGCATACTGACATCTCAAACCATGGGATCCATTTTACTATGAAGGACATGTTACAACGGACTCATGACAATGGGATCCATTGTTCCTCCCATATTCTGCATCACACAGAAGTCACCAGCCTGTTTCCTGACAGCTTTGCCAACAAATAATTAGCAAACATTTGATTACATGATAATATATCTCAGGAGGAATACACTGGTGATGAAATATGAACTCTATAGCAGTGAAGCTGTAGTCATAAACCTGTTAGAAAGCTCTTTGGAAACAAAGATACAGATGAGTTATAAAGCTGGGGGCTCAGACAGCTGTTGATGTGATTGTGAGTCACTATCTATGAGTTGAGGGTGAGGCTTGAGGTGATTTTAGATTTTTTTTTTTTCCAAAATATTCAGAAATGGCTAACTCCCTCTCTGTCAATCACTTCTGATAGACTTTTGAGGGCCACCATACATTGTGGTAATTTCTTCCACGCCCCCAAAAGTCAATTTTTACCCCCTTGGTGGTGATATGTCTGATGTGAATGCATACATTGGGAGAAATAAAGCAGAATACTGACTGTAACCCAAACTTTAATATGGATGTGAATAAATTACAAGGAAATTAATTTAAAAATTAGTCATTATTTTGGGGTTATGAAATAATGAGCAACTTTCTATTTTGTTCTTCTTATTTTTCTAGTTTCCAAATGTACACTTATATGTACATCCAAGGGATGTTGTGAAGATTCTATAATATTTTGCATGTGAAAGTAAAGCTCAGGTGTTACATAGGTCTTAAGTGTTAACAAAAGCCTGAAAATGTTGCCCCAGTATTCATTACCCAATGAACATGTGCCATATTCTGCAGAATTAATAACATTTTCATGTAGATTGATTAAAAAAACATTCATTTAATCATTGTATAGATATTTATTGAATATGCAATTCATGTCAGAAACCAATTGAGACACAGCAAAATCACACATGAATTAGATGTTCTGTGTTGTTGAACATCTCACCAATGACTTTTCCTCAAACACATACAAAGAAATAAATAAAATGAGATAATGCCATAGAGATATATGGTCAGATTTTGCAGGGAATACAAAGGACTGATTGATGAGATCTGTAAGGACTTTTCAGATGAAGTAAGATTTCAAGTGAATGTAGAAGATTGAGTAAGAGGTTTTTAAGTGATAAATCAAATGTTTATCAAGATTTGGGATTAGCTTTTCTCACAAAGAAAAGTTGACACTCATTTCCAGTGGCTACAGTTTCACCTTCTATACTTTTCTCCTTTTTTCATAGTCTTTACAATACCATAAAATTTATACTGTCTTTATGCTCTCCCTATCTTTTGATATCATCATCCTCCCTCAGATTCATTTTTACCAAGGTTTAAACAATTGACAATTTTAAAATTACCTGCAAATAGGAATCAAAACTTAAAAATAAAGATATGATGTATTTACTCTAGATCCTTGGGAAATGCAGGGTTTAAGGATCAGAGAGAGAAGACAGTATATCCTTACTGCCTCCATCCTTCCTGTTCAATTACTTCAGATAGATGATGGCTTACTCTGCCTTTGAAATGACATAGCAAGGGCACTCTAAATGTGAGGAATCTTACTTGCAGAGAAAATTTCCAATCTCTGAAATGGCCGACTTGTAGAGAAGTAGAGTAGTTTATTCTCCAGCATAGAGACCCCAGATTTTGAATGTATTTACTAGTAAAATGCGTTAAAAAATGGGGAGCAAACATGAGAATTGCTTGATTTTTGTTTTGTTAAGAACATGAAGCCACTTTCCAAAAAATTACCATCTACCACCACCATAATTCAATAACAGAAAGAAAATTATAAAACCAAAGTGAAGAAGATAGTATTATATAAAGAATAATCTTTTATGTTGACTTGCTTAACTTTAGGTGAAACTTCTTATTTGCTTATTTCTCCAGGTTGGTGAAAAAGTGTCTCATGGACTGGACCTGATCTGGAGTCTGATGTTTGGGACTTTTGGAAACTACTTGTCTAAAAGCCTTGAAATATCGGTATCCACCTTCTTTTACATATCTATCAGGAAGAAAATTAATAATATTTATAAAACTGTGTTAATTTTCTGTTTAGAAACACTTCATGTCTCCCTATTCTCTACAACAATGGTTCTCAAACTTTAGCATAATCACAGGTAGTGCTTGCTAAAAAGCAGATTTCTGGGACCATCCTCAGACTGTTGATTCAGTAGGTCTGAGCTGGGGCCCAAGAATTTGCATGTCTAATAAGTTGTCAGGTGATGCTGATGCTGCTGGTCCACTACCCTACAGGAAAAAGCCTAAACCCCTTATCAAAGCATGTAAGGATAAAAGCTAAGTGACCGTAATAGAGAGACCCCAAAATACAGAGACTTAATTAATATGAAATAATATAGAAGGTTTTTCTCCTGTAATAGTCTGGAGGCATTGCTCAGCTGGTGGAGTGGTTCTGTTTCCATCTTACTGTTCCGTTCCCTCTTAGGGTTTTTGTTAGAGCTAAGTACCCTCCACATTCACATTTCAGGCAGGGGGAAGGGGAGGGAAGGAGAAAGAAGAGAGCAAGTGGCTTCATATTTGAGAAGATGACCCAGAAGTTTCACACATCACTTCCCTGGCATTGTGTTGGTGGAGGCCAGGCTAGGAAATGTAATTTGCAGCACAGTGGTCCAATGCCCAGTTAGAACTTGAGGCAGAAGGTGCAGTGAGTATTGGTGGGCAGTTAGTCTCCACCACAAAGGCTCCTCTGGTAGTATCAGATGAATGAAAGGGAATGTTGTTTCTCATAAAAATGTTAGGTCTGGGAAAAAAAAATCAGTGTCCAGTATAATCCTACATTAGAATAAAGGCCCATGTGAAATTTTTCCTTAATACTTTGTACATAGCTCTATTGTTGTACTTAACCACATTTCATAATCATATATTTATTTATCTGCAGTCCCTGATTAGTCTTGAGGCTTTTTAAACACATGGATTGCATTTTATTTTTCTATCTGTATTTCTTATTTATCTATTTCATTATCATCTCTCTACTTCCTACTTACTTACAAAGTCAGTACCTAGTATAATTCTTGGTATTTAGCACACATCCAAGAAATACTCTTTGAATAAATGAATTGATTCATCATCTGTTGGTAAAGGTCAATATTATTTCTTTAACTCTTTACACCCTGATTTTTTCTATCTAAGTCGTGACTTTGCTGACCATTTTCATATCCACAATATTCTCTTTACTGCGCTCCTGACTTCTTTGTTTCTTAAAGTGTAGATCAGAGGGTTAAGGCTGGGTGTGACAATTGTGTAAAAGAGAGTAAGGAACTTCCCTTCATCTTGGGATGTGCTATTCTGTGGCTTCATGTACATATAAATGATTGTTCCGTAGAACAGGGTTACCACTGTGAGGTGCGATCCACATGTATTGAGGACCTTATGCCACCTTGCTGCTGACTTGATCCTCACGACAGCTTGAGTGATAACTCCATATGAGATGACAATTAGTGATAGAGGCACTAGAAGAAATATCACTCCAAGAGCAAAGACAACAATCTCAATGACTTTTGAATAGACACAAGCCATCTTGATCAATGCTGGCATCTCACAGAAAAAATTATCCACCTCCCGGTGCCCACATCTTGGCAACTTCAAAGTCAAGGAGCAAAGAATTAAGGCACTGCCTAGACCACCTAACCAGGCAGCCAGCACCATCTTCTGGCAAAGCTGAGGGTGCATTATTACTGTGTAGTGAAGAGGTTGACAGACAGCAGCATAGCGGTCATAGGCCATCACAGCCAAGAGAAGACATTCTGTGGCTCCCAAGTCTAGGGCACAGAAGAATTGTAGCACACACCCTCCATATGTAATAGACTTTTTTCGACCCCATAGATTGACCAGCATCTGGGGGATAATGCTGGTTGTATAACAGATGTCCAGAAAAGACAAATTGGATAAGAAGAAATACATGGGAGTATGGAGCTGGGTGTCTAGGTAAGATACAAGAATGATGGTTGTGTTTCCTACCAGAGTCACAATATAGAAGATGAAGACAACCACAGAGATGATGCGTGCTAATTGAGGCTGATCAGAAAACCCCAGAAGGATGAAATCTGTTTCAGAACTTCCATTGCTTGTTTCCATTGCCTCTTATGAAAGGCTAGGAGACAACACCAGTGTAGCAAAAAATACTATCATCCTTAGGTAGAACTAAAAATCTCTGGAGTTTGTCATGGGTGTTCCAAACTCACTTATTTATACGCTTTCTCCCATTTGGATCATCTCTTTTAACATTTCCCCTGTGTTCAGTGCCCAAAGCCTCTTCATGCTTAATCAAAATCAGAGTGGTTCTAAAAACAAAATGTTAAACTCAATTACACTGAATTGTAAATCTTTGAAAAGTCTTCATATGCTATGTCATCCATGGTTCTATGTATTTTGATTAAGTAATAAATACAAAAAATTAATTATATAATTTTAAGAGTGGGTTATATTTTGAGGAGTGTTCCTCCTTGAGCATATGATATAAGCATCACATGATCATGACAAATCTTTCTCTTATCAAAGGAGTTGAGCTTGAGGTAACAAGTTAAATGACATATTTTCTTGGGATAAGCTCCACCATTTGGTAGCGGAATCACTTTCTAGATTCACTTCAAATGTCTACATCTAACCATTACAATCATAATCATACTCATAATCACTATCACTACCAACCTTATCCTTCTCATATTTTTCCTTCTCTTCAACATTGCATTCACCATGTTCCTGTATAAATTTTGGTGTTCTCTACTACACTGCCCATTTTTGCACGTGTTTTTGGTGCCAAGAAATGTAATGTATCTTATTTTTAACTTTTATTTACATGAACAGAGGCCATATGTTTCTTTGAATTCCTTTCATGACTGCTATTACATGATCTAGATAGCCCTATTGAAATCTTGCAGAGTCAAAAATTGAACTAATTCTAGAACTATTGGTTACGACATACATATAGCAACAATCTGAGTTAGCTCTCACTCACTTGGCCAGTCAGCAAAATTCACAAGGCAGACAATTCAAACAAAAAGCAGTTCATTAAACAATCAATGAGTTGTTTTTCCAGGGAATTTACCAATTACATGAGTGGACCCTCTCGTTTTGGAGCTGTATAGGTAAAACTACCCTCATTTCAACTCCAAAAGAATACAGATAAAGGATAAAATTACATCAATCTCACTATTTTTGAATACTTTCTCATGTTATTAAATAGAAGGAATTTTGAATGACTGAATTAGTTTATAGATTTTTTATGCATATTATTTCTGATCATGAACTTAAGACCTAGGGTTCCTTACATTTATAGTGTCTTTGGGGCTGAGGAATAATAACCTTATTTGCTGCAGTTAAAGTAAAAAAGGTAAATATAAATTACTTACAGTATATCATTGTTATAAGCATTTTAGTTCGAACATTATAATGTTATAATCATGAAGAAGGAACTAGTATTACCAGGAAGTAGGATGAGGTAGAGATGCAGTTTTTCTCAATACAAAATGGAAATTTCATTTAATGAATGAGTGTCCAGTTTTTGTGTAATAGGATGTCAGCTGAATTAACCATAGTGCTTAAGTGCATAGATTCTGGACTCAGAGTGCTTGGAATCTAATCTCAGCTTCGCTACTTGAAAGCACTGTATCCTGGGGCAATTATTTAACCTGTTTGTATGCCAGATTCTGTATGTTAAGTGAAGATAATAACACTTCCTCCCTTGAAGGGAGGTTGTGAGGGTTAATATTTGTGAAAGCATTTGGAACTGTGCTTGGTTCATATTTAATTCTAAGAATTAAAACTATGTTCACGTACCCAGAAATCATCATTATTCTTTACCCCTTCTTCCTTCATTTTGCACACTGGTGATTTTACCATGATGGTTTAGAAATAAACTGGAATACTTAAAAATCTTTTTCTGTAACTTTTAAAATGCACAAATGTACTTATGTACACAAAAATACTCATAAACACAATGTACATATTGAACTGATGAACCTCAGAGCCAGGAGAGGACTTGAGCTACCCAGATTCATGGATTACAGAATGCACTCAGCTGTTTTGACCAGTTACGATTGGGATAGTGTTGAAAATTAAAAGGCTATAGAATTTTCGAGTTGAAATGGACCTCAGGAGCCATGTATCCAGTTTTCTGCCTGGATAGGGGATCCTTCCACAGAATATTCACACAACTTCTATCTTTGTAACTTCAGTAACAGGAGAGCCAGTTGCACATGAAGCAGCCTCTTTCCTTTAATCAATGCTTCTTACTTACCTCTTACGTTGACCTCAAAGATGCCGCTTTGTAACATCCAGGCACTGGCTCTTTAGCTTTATTCTGGAAAGAACACAGTGTAAATCAATTCAACATGGTTTCGCTTATTAAAAAACCAGTTTTATTATAAAATTAAACATGGATACAGAAAAAAAGTAAAAACTTGGTCAAAACAAGGTCAAGAAATAGAGCATTGCCAAGCACCCAACGAGCTTCTCTTTGTGCGTCATCCCAATCATAACCCTTCCGTTTTCCTCAAAGTATCCACTATCCTGATGTTTATAGTAATCCCCTTCTTGTATTTTAAAGCTTAATTACCCAAATGTGCATCTCTAGACAATATTGTTTAGTTTGGCTCATTAAAACTTTTTATGTCTTTTAAGTCTCTTTAAATATTAAAATCTGTTATCAAATATACTCTTGATTTATCTTCCCAGACTAAGCACATAGATTGTTGTCCGCTGTTCCCGACGCCATGAGATCTTTAGTTACCGTGCTTTTCTGGTTGCTATCCATTGGACACACTGTGGTTTATCAAATGGCTCAGATTAGTGAGTTCCAAAGTGAACACAGGACCCCACGTGTGCTACACTATTGAAGAGAAGAGTGAACATCTATGATCTACATATATTTCCTAAAATATATGTCAGCTAGATTTAGCAGGTGAAAAACATTACTGGCTTAAGCTTTGGATCACATAAGGCCCCAGGTAGCCTTATTAGAAGTGCTGTCAAGCCAGAATTACACTTTATGTAATTTAATGTTGTGAATAAAAATATAGAACTTTTCATTTTATGCTTTTCAACATTTTCCGTATTGGTTCAAGGCTTGGGTCTCAAATTTTAAATATTATTTTAGTTTTAGGGACAGAGATTGGATTGGTGGTTACCAGAGGGGAAGGGGGGAGGGAGGAGGGTGAAAGGGATAATTGGGTACATGTGTGTGGTGATGGG